ATTCTTAGGTAATGAAAACACAATGATTATTTTCAGGTTATTATACACTAAGGAAAACATGATGAATGTTTGCAATTATCTTTTGTTTCACCTCCTCTGCAGCAACTGTAGTAAAACATTTAAAATCTCTGTCACTTAGATTTTTTTCTTCACGTTTATTTTCATGGTAGTGGTGGTTAGGTGTTTAACCACTTGAAGGCTCTGTTTTTAGACCAGTTGCTGAGCGGCTGTACTGACACTCAGAGGGCTGCAAACACTCGTACTCTATGTCTTTAATCTCCTGACTCACAGCCCGCCGCACTGCTGGTGTGTAAATAATTTAGTGAAATTTTAAAGCCCCAATTAATTTCAGCAGTAGGGAGGGAGGATGTCTCCTGCTGATCGATTCATTAGTAATAATGGCTGACATTTGTGTCACCAGACAAAATAGAGGAGAGCCTATAGAATCCAGAGCGCATCAGAGGGAGAGCTGCTATCTGACGACCAGATTCAGCTCTCAAATCATCCGTTATAGTGTTTCACTGTAGAATTCTGTACAGGTCTGACAGTAACTGAACCCAACCTGAGTCCTCAAGCTAATAGTCTTTATTTAAGTCAGTTTCTTGATACAAAAATCTGATATACAACCATAAATGTGAACTAGAAATATAAATTGTATATCAGCGTCTTTCAGGACCACCAAAACCAGTTTTAAGAGGTTGGGGAAATTTAGACTCTCTCCGTTTAAAAAAGGATGGTCTGACGTTAGCATAGCGTGCAGTAGCTTACGGGGGGGGTATCGATCCAGGCTCAGGGGGCGTCTGGACGGGGGGTCAGAACCTCCAGCAGGTTGACAGGAGGCTCAGAACCGCCAAGGAGGGAGTGACCTTTCCATCCACACACACACACACACACACATACACACACAAATACACACTTTCCTGCTCTCTGTTTCCATTCTCCCTTCTCTTGTTTGTCTTTGAACATATACACACACCCATACGCACACACACGTCCCTCCTATCCCCGCAGGCCCCAGTTCCATCCCAGTCCATCCAGACCTCCACACCAGTCATCAAATATTTATCATGGATACATGAAAGCAGCACATGGAAATCGATGGGGCTCATTATATTGTACCTTATCATAGACCACAGAGTATATAATATGCCTGAGGTTTTTGTCTGCATTTCACCAACGGAGCTGCAACACATAACTTGCTTCAGTCATTAAAAGAGCGTTCCAGGCGTTACCTGGAAAGTTGAGAAACCTCCATTCAATGTAGAGGACGGTGTTTAAAAGGCTAATACATCCTAAATCATTTTTAGTAGAGAAGATGTGGTTGTATTGCTGTTTTGATAATTTAATTACATAAAACACTCAAGTAATTTGAGTTACCAGGTTTAAAGTAACTATTCAGCAGACCCTCACCCTCCTAAATTGTCGCTTTGCTGAAGCTAAATCTGCGCTCAGACCAAATTACATTGATAATGTGCTCTTCAGACATCCAAAGCGGGACTCCGGCCTCGCACTGATGGTTTAACTTAGTAAAGGAGTTATCCTCATTATCCTTTGTTCATGTGATGTCAACACAAATTGGATGACTGCAGGATTTGTGTAGGCAAATAACATTCATTTAATTATATACAGTAGGTATAGTGATACTGGGCTCACACGTTTTCTCACACAGAATTAATAAGTGTTGATTTTGCACTTGCTTTTTTGGGCGTCACGTCGGCGGGTGGGGGAGAGCAGTGCGGGGTGAAGGAGTGGTGGGCGGCGCAGAGCAGCGAGAGCGCGCCCCTGTAGTTCACGCCCTGTTCAAAACAACATCACTGCAAAAGTTATCAAGCCTCCAGTAAACAACATTAGTTAACACCGTTGATTTAACGGGTAACAGGGAGACGTTTCCAACATGACATGGCACCGACAAAAGTTCCAATATTAAGCTCCCTGCTGCAATCGTCTTTTTCCACCATTTAATTGTTACAGTGCTAATTGTTCGAAGCAAAAACGATCTAATAACACAAGTGATAGAATAGGAAACAGGCCACAGTGCTCATTTATGATCTGACCTAAAATTTAGAGTATTGAGGGAAAACCTACCCTCCATGTGCGCACACCAGTGAGTAACCTGTGGTTTGTTCAGTGGAGGCATGCAGGAGCAGAGCAGCACAAGTGGCCCCCAGAGGCCCTGGCCCGAGCAGATGAAGGGAGGGGACAAACAGAGGCTGCTTAATTAAAATGCAAATGATGGCGCTGCCTAAATCTCAATTCACCTCCTCGCTCTGCTTTGTTTGCCTGTGGGAAAGATATGTGACTGTGTGTGTATTTCAAGCAGAAATGCACTCATACACCCATCTGCACCACTTTCATCTGTCTGTACGTCTTCTTTCCCTCTGTCATTGCACAAACGCGTCCCCGTATACACACATTGTTTCACACGTACACAACTGAAAAAGCACACAAGCGCAGGAGATGCCCCTTCAAGCGTGTATTCTAAATATAAACATGGATCTTTTGTAGATTCATGCCATTACTCTCGTACACGCTCTCAGCGAGGAGATGGTCAATATTTAATCTGTGTTCTGTGCCGTCGGCGTGCTCTGCCTCGTGTCGTTCTCCTTCCACATCGGCGTTGCTGATGTTCCGGTCAGATATTATGAGAAATTGAGAAAGTCGCATTTCTCCTACTGGCTGTTCGATATTATGAAAATGTCATCTGATGCGCTGAGACAGCTGGTTTTGTTAAGGATGTTTTCTCCCAAGTAGCAGAGCAAAGCAGCTGCATAAGCACATTTTTAGATTCATCAGATTACTAATGTAGGAATGAGCCCCGACTGGAATATGTGTCTGCATCCAAAGATAAAACAATGAACCTTAATTAAATAAGAAAAAAATAAAAGATCACTCATTGAGCGAGTGTGTTTTGAATGTGCAGGTTAAACACATGCTTTTGTGTTGCATTTTTTTAGTGGTCAGTCTCGTTTTATCCCTTCACATGATTCCCATTCACTCCCACACAGTTAGAAGCCTGTAAATCCCTAATCTAGTTGTTATCCCTCCCTTTATTTTATCTCCTTATCATGAGATCAATGAGAGGAGAGGATTAACACTAAGGCTTGATGGGCAGCGTAGCTCTAGTAGCTCCTATGTAAGACAATTCTGAACCTTCATTTTACTCTGCCTGAGTCAGTGTTAGCAGTTTGTCAGTGAGGGTACTTTCTGTATAGTAATCCAACCTAATCTACTGTTGTACTTTTTGTTTGATAATCCAATCAGTAATCTAATCCAGTTTTAGAATGTACTGCTCATGATTCATCACTGGAGATTTTAGCTTGCTGGATGACAACAAGATTCACAGCTGCATTGTCATATATAAAGAGAACAAAATTCAAAGTTTGTCCATTGAAAGAAATTATAATTAAAGAGTAAGTGGAAGGAGGGAAACCATATCTGCACTGGCCTCTGTGGGTTGAAAGGTACACTGTAGGTCTCTTGAACCTCTGACCACATCCAACATCATAGCTAGGTGTGGTCAGGTGTGGTCTGTTGTAATTGTGACCACAGTCAACTCTGTGATGTAGTCTGGTACTGTAGTGCCACGCTGCATCACTGCTGCACAGGGTGTGGAAAAAGCATGATGTCAGTCACCACTGGTTGGCAGGGCAAGACAGATTATTAGGACGCTCTTTGAAAAGTAAAAAAGAAAGTTAAAAGAGGAGAATACCATAAAATTTGTTTAATGTGTGGCAGTAATGCAAATCTGGTTTTAATGTTTTAGGCATTAGAATTTATATATATATACATATATATATATATATATATACATTTATATATACCTATATCCATGGTGTCCAAACGAGAAATCTTGATGTCTTTGGTGATCCCCTCACTTTCCGATACTGTACTCTGGTTAACTGCCTAGCATAAACATATTAACATTGAGCATGTCCTAACAGAGCCTCAAGCATGGCTATGTTCCTATATACATATATTTCATATTTGACATATGAAAGTTTAATCCCTATACATACTGTATGTAATTGGCAATGGATTTAATTCCCTTTAATTCCCCCTCAAATATGAGATCATATCATAGCCCCTAGAGCAGACTGTACAGTGTGCTGTACACAGATGGTGCGTTGGTGCTTTTAATATGCATGCATAGCTTTATAGTACAGCTTAAGTTCCAATATTTGTAATTCCTATGTTTTATGTAAGTAATATGCCAAAACTAAGATGAGCAGTGTGACCAATGCCTCACTCGAACTACTGTTCAGTACATGTTCTAAATATAGACTGACATGACAGCATGTAGATTGACGGAAGTAAGACAGCATCCTTGTTTTATATGCTAGTTAGAAAATATCCTCAGGGGATTTCATTACATGTGGAAGGACTTCATAGGTGTGCTATTCTCATCCTATTCATCAAAGTCTGACTCATTACATATATCTCAGTCTGTGTTACAATAGAAACTGGATCAGGAAATGATATCCGAACCATGGTTAAGAGGAAGGAGTGAGTTTTTGTGTGTTCTGACAGATGTAGCATCCCACTAGAGAGAAAGCAAGCAACTCATCTGGAAGTTATCTATCACAGGCCGTCATCATTCCAGGCTTCATTATCTAACTAGTAATGAATAATTACATCCACCAGTGGGAATTAGACTTCTATTAGATCCTCATTTCAGGGATCAGAACGTGATTGTAATCTGCCATACAGTAGGATCTCCACGTGTGCCTGCAAGTGCATGCGCATAAAGAAATCCCTTGACAATAGATCACTGCAGTGGTGCTGCTTTGGTGACGTGTCACATGGTTTGGTATAGTAAGAAACTGCAGTACTACATGTATTCTGTTGGGAGCTACTCTGTGTTTCTCATTTCTTCCTCTTGTCACCTCTTTCTCTCCATTCACTTTCAGCTGTTTACTTTCCTTTTGATGTCTTTCATTTTCTCTCTTTCATGCTCTCATAACTCTCTCTCTGTCTTTGTTGACCTCTTCATCACACACAAGCGTCAACACCGAGTGACACAGCATGATGCTCCTCTTTGCCAGCAGATGTCCAGTCAGGTTTTGTAAGCACATAAACCTCTCCTGCATAAGCATCGGCTCCTCTTCAGTGTGTTCTGGCGGTGACAGTAACTGTGTGGTAATGATGGAGGTGGGAATGAGGAAGGGGACAGGAGGGGGAGGGCACAAAGAACGAAGACATGGGATGTGATTGGCTCTGAACAAGTGTGATGTCATGCTTCAAGGCCTTTCTGCCAGTGAGTTGTAAGGTTGGCTGTGTTTGCAGGGGCGGGGGGTGCAGGTGTGGCCTCTGAAACAACATGGAAGAGAGTAGAAGGGAAGAGATTTTTTTAGCAGATACTTTCTGATTTGCTTGGTTTGGAGAGCAGCAGTAGTTGGACTGTAAAATGTCTGCGTATTGGTAATGTTGTGGCACATCAGTTGTCATTCCTCTTGTCAGTGTTTGTTAGTAAAAAACAAAACTGCACCTTAAGAAGTGCTCACTCTAATGTCTTAACTCTGAGTTAAACTTAAAATTGTTAAATTAAATCTTTGTAAAATCTTTGAACCCACTTAATTTATTTTTAATTTAAACAAAATATCAAGTAACGTTCAAACAAATAGGTTCAATCAAGTTAAATATTGCAGGAAAAGTGGGTGAAACCAGGTTGAAACTTGCAGAATAAATTAAATGAACAAAATACCTTGTTCCAGACTCGTTCACATAAATTTTGATTCGTGCAATCAAAAGTGCAAAAATGAGCTACATTATGTTTTTGAAAGGTCCATTCCTTACTAGATCCTACTTGCTCTGTTTGCCTGCTGAGTATAAAAACAAAATCAGACAATCAACAATTTATATTACTGTTTTATACCCAACGCCCACACTACAAGTAAAACCAAGATTATGAGCATGTGAAAGTGAACTGTTTACTGTTGAGATGTGGTTTGACGTTAGCCTTCTCCCTGTTTTTTGTTCCAAGTCCATTCTTGTAAATGTGTTGTCTCATTTTGTACAATGACATCACTGCCTCCTTTTGGCAGATTCCAGTATTACACATCTCATTACATAGTCTGACATCAGTCATAAATCCTAGAGCTCCAAAAAACACTCTTCCCTCTCCTCTGCTACGTCATTCATTTCTCTCTGTCCCGGAAATTGATGAATGTGCCAGAACATGAAGCGTAATAGGTTTAATCAGTGCAATTTAATGCAAAACCCTCCCTTCGTTTTAGGAATAATTTGGTTAATATTGAGCACATGACCTTTGTCACTGATGATTGAGTAAAGCAGACTGGCAGCAAGTAAAACTTAAATCCAGTCTCCCTCGTAAAAAGAGGACAGGTGGAAGGTGAGGAGAAAGAATAAAGCTTTGGGTTGCAGCCCCAATATAAAGGCTCTGATTTATTACTATGACTTACAGAAATGGCTCCGTCACTTGTGTGCTCTGAAGCTGTTTCCCCCATAATATAGACTACTCTATTGGAAAAAATATTCATATGTTTACATTTTAGTACAGTTTCAGTGCTTATTCCTCTAGCCAACCAAGTGGATATACCACAGTGTGACAGCTCGTAAATATGTGTTAATGAGCTTGATTGCCGACCGCTGAGTTATCGACACCAAAAGCCTTATGTCACTGACCCATCGCTGTTGTCTGTTGTTACCACAGAACCGCCAGCTTCTGAGGGACAGTTTCATGGTGGAGTTGGTGGAGGGAGCCAGGAAGCTGCGGCATGTCTTCCTCTTCACTGATCTGCTGCTCTGCGCCAAGCTGAAGAAACAGATCGGAGGGTAAGAAAGTATTCATATTGCTCAAATGAACATTTATTTCTCCGGTTAAAAGCCAGCTATGATGAGATCTCTGAGACCTTAGTTTCTAAAAATATTCAAAGTAATGTATAATTAAGACATCATCATAAATGGACACACAGACATCGAACTATCCAACACTCGTTCAGTTTAAAGGTCCAGTGTGTAAAATTTAGGAGTTGTTTTCATTACCTTCCCTACAGAGGGAGTGGGTCCTTTTCTATGGATACCGCCATGTTGAACCGCCATGTTAGAATAAAATAAATAAGATTTTTCTCAAGGTCCTCTTGGTGTTTTTTTATAAACACAGTTAACCTGTTTCCTAATTGTTGTTTTTCTCCCCTCTACACTGTCTCCTTTCCCATCCTTTCATCCACACCATTTTTTTCACGCATCCCCATAAATCCACTCCTCCTTCCATACCTCCCTCACATCTGTCTTTTACTCACCTTTCACCCTCCATCCGCTCTGCCATTCCTCTCGTCCTGCCACCGCAGTAAAAACCAACAGTATGACAGTAAGTGGTACATCCCCCTGACTGAGCTGACCTTCCAGGGCCCCGAGGAGACCGAGCCCCTCACTATTCCCCAGGTCCCTGATGAAGAGCTCGACGCCATGAAAGTCAAGATTTCACACCTCCGCAGTGAGATCCAGAGAGAGAAGGTATACACACACAAAAAATCTGTTCAGGAACTAAGAAGGAAGTCTGGTTTTCAGACTGACAACAGTGCATTTTCTAAGTTTGTCTTTTGGGATTTTCAAGAGCTTCATATGACTTATTGGATATTGAATTTTTCCAACCACTGAGAGGTGATAAATTGCCACACAAGCATACACACACAATCAAACGTTTTCACCTTTGTGATTTCAGAGAGCCAACAAGGGTTCAAAAGTCATTGACCGTCTCAGGAAGAAGTTGTCTGAGCAAGAGTCTCTGCTCCTGTTAACGTCTCCGAGCATGCCCCTCAGAGTCTACAACAAAAATGGCAAGGTGATGATACTCTCCAGCTTTAACTACATCAGTTTCTTTATTCTCTCTTTTCATCATCATTTCTTCCCCATCCTACTCCTCCTCCTACTACTGCTCCCCATACGCTCTTCTTCTCCGTATTTTCTCCAGCTTTTTTGCCACTTCATTTCCGGCACAATATCCCCTTGCTGATCTTCTTTAAGATTAATTCTCATTGATCTGTCTCATCCTAAGACAGTTGGGGTTTTTTTTGCACATGTGTTCTCAGGGTTACAGTTTCCTGATTTCGTCTGACTATGAACGCGCAGAGTGGAGGGAGATCATCAAGGAACAGCAGAAGAAATGTAAGTGCCCCAGAAATGTCCTGTCAGACAATGTCTGATCCAGATCAGAACAGTCGGATGTTCCCATTTGTAGCACATCCAAGGCACTTGAAACATTCTCAGCAGCAACTACTAATCCAAGAACCTTGTGATACTAGTATACAGCACAAATTACATTTATTGTCTTCCCTCAAGGTTTTAAAACTTCCTCCTTGACTTCTATGGAGCTGCAAATGTTGACCAGCTCCTGTGTCAAGCTGCAAACTGTCCACCACATTCCACTGAGCATCAATAAAGAAGGTGAGTAGCTAAGTTTGTAAAACTCAAATGCTGTCTACTAAAGTAAAGTTGCCCTTATCATACTCAGTCATCCATATGCAGTATTTGTAGTTCCGCGACAGGGTTCCTCTGAGATAAATTGGATTTGGATTTAATAGAAATTCCACAGTAACATTATAAGGAGTTTGGGGCTCTTTGTATATATGTGGGGTTACGCTTTCACTTGATTAATTAATAATAGTTATAAAGAGTACACACAAGTTTAAGCCACATGTTTTATACTGTACAGGCCTGTTTTATCCCTTCATTGCATGTCTGATTCTGCTCCAAAACAAACAGAGATCTGCGTGCTTTTCTAACCCCTCCTCGCTGCCTTTTTTGTCTTTCTCTCTCTCTCTCTCTCTCTCTCTCTCTCTCCCTCTCTCTCCTCGCTGACTGTTTTTCCAGAGGATGAATCCTCCGGTCTCTACGGGTTCCTGAATGTAATTGTCCACTCTGCCTCCGGCCTCAAACAGAGCTTGAGTGAGTCACTCACCTTTAGCTTCCATGCAAACAACCGAAAATACGAATAATCCCACAGTGAGTTTGATGTGACCATGGAGCAGTGGAAAACAGGGATTTAAAGTTGTTTTTTTCCAGTAGACATATTTGCAGTTCATGTCTGGTTAGTAACTGTAAGAATTAAAACACTTACCTGGAGATCTATGTTTGAAACATTTTGACCATATCTAACACTTGGCCAGATTAAGTGCTAATGTAATGCATCCCTTTTATCAGATCTCTACTGCACATTGGAGGTGGATTCCTTTGGCTTCTTTTCAAATAAAGCTAAGACGAGAGTGTATCGATACACTACTGAACCCAAATGGAACGAGGTAAGACTGGAACAAAACCGGCATGCAACTTATTCCAAGTTGGAATAAAATGTCTCTGCGGAGTCTGTGTTAATAGAGGGGTCAACTGTTGTGTTTTTATTGCATCAAACATGACCTTGTAATGTTTTTATTGCATCCTAAAATACTTATAAAGTTAAAAAGTTGGAATTGGTAACCATACAGATTCATAACATGTGCTATTTTCAATACTATTTTATCAGTTATGCTTCATTGGAAGATCATAAATATGTTTATTTCCTTTCAACAGCCAAACCCATACATGCAGTAGCACTGTATTTGACATCTGGTACTGTAATCAGTTAGCTGTCCATCTCTGAGTAAAGATTTCCAACAGAACCTACACAGAGCATCTGCAGCCCCTGCAAACATAAACAGTAGCGAACACACATATGCATTGTATATATGCATGCTAGCAGGCACACATACATACACAAACATGAATGAATTAATGACACAGCTGGATGTTGGAGTTAGCACTACAGAAGAAGAAGAGCTCTGAGATACAATCAGTGGGTCTGTTCATCTGCAGCACAGTTTTTTTCCACCGTGAACCCAAAAACTCTTTGAGGATTTTGCTCAGCAAAGTGGAAATAATATTAACTAATGAGGGGCTGCTGGTGATGACTCACATCTGTCCAAATGCTAAGTGAACCAACACAGTGTGGGCCCCAGAACGATGTACAAACCATATGCAGAGTGCTGCCCTTCTGTACATAATTACAGGGAATGTTGGTCAGCTGTGGTGGCATGTATAGATTCTGATGTAGGGTGGGTGCTGATTCTTCTGGATGTCTCTTTTTCTCATAACCTTTGTCATTCCTGTTTCTATTGGTGTCATTGTACTAAATCATGGACATTTTTGCACCAGTTTTTGCTAAAAATGTTCATCTTTTTCTTCCCTTAAGGAGTTTGAGATTGACCTGGAGGGCTCTCAGACCCTGAGGCTGCTCTGCTACGAGAAGTGTTACAACAAGACTAAACAGAACAAAGAGGATGGAGAGAGCGCAGACCGCATCATGGGGAAAGGACAGATCCCGGTATGACATGACGTCACCCCCCCTTTCAGCAGACCCACCGTGACTCATTACTGATAGGCAGTTATGTCACCACCACTGCCACAAAGCATGAAATCCATATTGTTGCTCAATCAATGACAGAGGGTGATGTAAAAATTGGCTGATTAGATTAATTGCCCCATTATATAATGGATGGGTCGGGCTTGATTGATTGGAGGGAAACTGCTGTTCAGTGCATGTAAGAGAGATGTTTGAATATCGAAAAGTTGTGATTTTCTTGCCATTTATCTATCATTGTGCTGCCAGGTTTAGCTGTTTCTAACATGAGTCACAGTCCAGGGTCCATAATAGTTATTGAGTAACAGCAATGTCATCCTGCATATTTGGAAACAACAATAGTCAAAGCTGAGTACAGGTGTGTGTGTGAAAATGCCAAAAATCCTGAAAAAGCCGACACCATCCTGTCTTGAGCAGTCTGGCTGTTAGATGAACTGATCACTGGTTGACAGCAGATCTAGATAGCAGGTGATCAGAGGCGGGAAAGACAGAAGCAGACAGAAATGATTTAGCCTGAAATGCGAGTCTCTCCTTTGATTCACTGCAGCCAAAAACCTCATTCTCTTACTCCTCCACCTACAGCAGGGCAGGTGTGGGTGTTTGTTTTTGTGTGTGTGTCGGTGTGTGTGATTGTACACTGTGGACCATTGTTTTACCTCACACAAAAACACACGGAGAGATCTTCTCTCTGTGGCTGAAGGATGTCTTTTTCTCGAACAAACTAAGAATCAAAAGCATGAGAGAAAACAGTGGTTGTGCACACTGCATTCCATTTGTTCAAATTGAAGCCGTGTACACCAAGACGAGTCCCTTTGTTGTTTGTTGTCTGCCAAACTGTCTGTGAATTACAGTCACAATGCTCCACCTAGTGGTTCCTCTGGTAATCCTGTGACACGATCACTTCTTGACAGATGATGTCATTAAAAACAAACCACCCAGACTGGTGAGAAAGTTGCTCAGGAGGATTTTAATAAATCCAGGGCAAGAAACTGCTGCTCCTGTCTTCAATAAAAGCTACAGTGGCTTATAAATCTCACAGATTACTCTTCAGTTTTACGGATTTACCAAACAAATGAATGTTTAGAACAGAATAGAATAACCATTAACATGCCAGATTGGTTGATAGCCAAACATACCAACCAGATGTTGGTAATTTACCATTTACCTAAATGCCTAAGTGTGTTTCTAACACATGTAAATATAATTTTAACATTTTAAATGTTCATTTCTATTTATTCTGTCATTGTCTCTTTTGTGTGATTATTGTTCTTTTTTGGTATCACCGTAAACTTTATTAGTTTATTCTAATTCTTCCTTTGTATACATAGAAATATTCTGTCTTATATGAAATCTATTTTGGTCCAAAATAATAAGTAGTTAGACACTGGAATTACCCCCAACAAACAACATGCCTATTGTTCCTACAATATGTAATTTATTTGGTATCAAAAGTCACTGCAATATCCTTATCATACAGTTCATATGCCAAAATTTCATCATGCATTTTTATATTTGTTCTTTAACATTTAAAATATATATATTAAAGTATGCTACACATTTTCAGTTTGTCACTACATGTACTCCATAAATGTATCTCTTTAACAGAAATACAGTGATTATTGTATTATATGCTAGTACTGAGCCTTTGCTTCTTAAACATGCACATTAATCCTAAATCATATTGTCATTTTATTAATTTAAACAACTTTCAGGAATTAAATTACTTTTGAAATGTACACATTATAGGCGTAATCAACAACTTGCACACATGTATACAGGCCTGTCTCCATCTGAATCTGCTGTATTCTGTTATCTGTTATCTTTACACAGTGTTTCTATACTGTCCCAGCTCATATTGTTGGCTTCATGTCAGCATTTAATGTGGTTTAGTTTTACAGATCTGATTTATTGGAAAAGTATATGTTGATAAACAGCAGTGGGCTTGCTAAACCTTCAACCAGTAAAGACTATAAAAGTATATTTATTGGCTTTTAAAACATTTTATCAGGAAGGTCATATGGCTTTCCTGTTTTTAGTTGAATGTAATTCTTTGTAGATAAATGGCTCAAACCAAAGAGCACTCTCAGCAGTGAAAGATTCAGTTATGAGAAACATGATCCAGCTTTGCACGCAACCAGATGGCCCTTTGCCTAGGTAAACATACAACATACAGTATACTGTGTTTGTGTGTGTGTTTGTTTCATAGTGTCAGATGTGTGTGTGTGTGTACCCAGCTTTTATTGCCCCAGATGGCATATCTCTTCTGATCTAAGTATGTTTGTGCATGTTTGGGTGTGAATTTAGTGTCTTTAAACAAATTTGTTTATCATAATCATAAAAATACAGTAAAGGGATGCAACAAAACCATCTTTCAAAACATTCCACTACAATAGACGGAATATTTGTACTGTTGATGCAATTATAACTTTATGCACTGCTATGTTGACATAACTGAGCAGTATATAAGAAGGACAACAGTATGTTAAGATCACTTCCTCTTACCAAAACAGACATATAGCTGCAGTGGTTCATGAGAAAATAGTGAGAATATATAAATAACCTATGAATTTCAGATATTTTAAATATCCCGCTAACTTAAGAAACATCTGTTAAGTTCAAATGAAATATAAGTAACTTGCTAGTAGAATATGATGCTAACATATATTGTCTTTTTCCTCCACCAAGCTTGACCCTCAGCCTCTCCAAGGCAAAGACTGGCAGAGAACAGTTATTCCCATGAACGGGGTGAGTAGATCACATTAGTTCAACTTTATCATAATTAATTCTTGTATTTCCATCCCTCACTTTTTATATCATAATATGAGTTATTTTTTTGTTTCAAAGTCCTCATACTATTAAACATCCTTATATATATATTATAGTAGCACACAGAAGTGAGAAATATTCTCAACAATTTGTCCAGGATGTGCTTCAGTTGCAGTTGTTTTCTCTGTGAAGTTTCCATCTGGGTTTAACATGTCAGGATTTCCTCAAGATCACGGAAAGCTAGTGCAGATTGATTTCAGGCTTGTAGATTGGCTTCTCACTCTATAAACCTGTTTTAACTTGAAGCCCTTTTTTCCTGTGTCAGATCGAGGTTAAACTGTCCATGAAGTTCACCAGCCGAGAGTTCAGCCTGAAGAGGATGCCCTCACGAAAACCCATGGGTGTGTTCGGAGTCAAGATCTCCACAGTGACTAAGTGAGTTTTTTAGATAAATGTATTCATAGATTTTAAATGTAATTCAAAATTATGCACAATGCATTGCATCAACAGTGTTATTTCGAAGTTGACATTTAAACACGCAGAAGCTACCTAATTATAGAGAAATCATCTGGTCACCTGTTAAAACTCAAACAGTTATCCTTCAATCGGCATCAAGGACACATTTATACTCTCCAATGACATTCCTCAGGGCTTGATTCTCGGCCTCCTCACTTTCCTCACATCCCAAAATGTTATGCTGATGATTCCATCAATGCAAAGACAAATTGTTACTTTCTAATCCGCATATGAGATTCAGCTCAGCTTTGTGTGTCAAAATCTCTACTCATCTACATTTTGGTTAGACGCCTGCTCAAAACAAGTTTATAAAGAACATGATGATGGAAGTATTTGATGGTCATTCTCGTGCTCTATTATGTTTCTTGTTACAGCAATTTTTGGGGTTAAAGAAGTTCGTGACACAGATTTGGTGCAAAATTTAACAATTTCTGACCAGTCGAGAATTGATAAAAATTGTATCTTTTCTGTAAGAATTGGATGTTTCAGGTTTTTGTATGGCAATTACATCTGTTCTGGAAATTGCTTAGAAAACCCGTTTTGTAAATATACCAAGGAAAACTACCTGTCCTCTGAATGCTCTAAGTTTGTGGTTGTGCACTTTCATGAGGTCACAATAGGTCATTTTATACAGTTTCAGAAAATGGTCTCACAACAGTGAAATGGCTATAAGGACTAACATCATCACACATGAATACAATTGGGCTCATCATTGTGTTTTGTGTTTGTGGCCATTGTGATGAGTGACATTAATGAGGATTAAACATAACAAGTGGGTTAACTAGATTTACCAGCACAAATCAATTAGCACTGTAGATAAAACATTTCAACAGAAACACAAGCAAATAGCCAGAGGCATTACTAGCCCTTCCAGTAATCAACACATTGCAAAACACAACCATCAGCCTTGTTTATTTCATCCTTTTGTCACAATAAACAAAATGTTTCTTGCTTCATTGTGGTTTCAGTATTTATGCTGGTAAGTGTTTTACTGAATGTACACTGCTTGTTGGTGATTATTGATATTCGTCTTCTTCCAGGCGAGAGCGCTCCAAGGTGCCCTACATTGTCCGGCAGTGCCTAGAGGAGATTGAAAGGAGGGGTATAGAGGAGGTGGGCATTTACAGAGTATCGGGAGTCGCCACTGACATTCAGGCCTTGAAGACCGCCTTTGACACCAGTGAGTATAGCCTACATCTAAATACAGTAAATGGTCTGAGCAGGTTATTTGTATGAAAGCTTTTAAGTAAAAACCTGTTTTGTTTCATTTATACTATTGTCATTTGTAATCATGTCAGATACGTATGTATTGCCAAAAGTATAGTTTGTCTTTACATTTCCTATCATGGTTATAATACTGTAACTGCCATGCATTTCTAGGAAAAGGCTTAAAGGATTTATTGACCATCACCTGAAGAAAACCCTTTTTTCTAATCTTTCTATTTCTGTTGATCAGGTGATCATTATTGTAGCTCTGTCTGACTGTGAGTTTGATGAATTTTCTCTGATGTGAAACATCATTAACCAAACGTATGAAATAGTTCCTTACGGACTTGCATTTGCATTGTGTGTAGTGCTAATTGTGAATTTATCTTGTGTGAAGTGTGTGTATTTTACTGTAATTCTGATGGGAAAATAAGATGCATGGCGCCTGCTGCTTGTGCCAAGGTGCTTCCCTGTCTTATCATCCTCCCCGGTCGTTGCATGACCTCCTGTCTTCATGTTGTTTCCGTCTCTCTCCTGCAGATCACAAAGATGTGTCAGTGATGATGAGTGAGATGGACGTTAATGCCATCGCTGGGACCTTGAAGCTGTACTTCAGAGAGCTGCCAGAACCGCTCTTCACTGATGAGCTCTACCCCAATTTTGCAGGCGGCATCAGTAAGTCACCATCACAGCTAATTAGCAGTGAATTAATCAATCAAACTATCAGGGCTGTAGTGGATCATAGGGGTTCATTATATAATAGCAACTTCTAAATATCTGTTAGTTTTAAAAAATCCTCTATTTGCAGGATATGTAAAAACTAATTTCCTTTGCTTCTGTGCAGCCCTGTCCGACAGTGTTGCCAAAGAGAGCTGTATGTTGAACTTACTGCTGTCGCTGCCTGAACCCAACCTGGTCACATTCCTTTTCCTTTTGGATCACCTAAAGAGGTAGGAACAAGTAAACACACACAGGCTTACATAATATATAGATATGAATGTTCACATGAACAGTAGGAACAAATAAAACTCATGTCCATACACACACAACAACAAGCCACAGATATACAAGAGGTGTAGTCAACTGCAATCACACACACATACGTTAATATTCCAGATTTTAATTTCATTTTTGTGTCACAGTGCTCTCAAAATGTTCATATAATGTTTTAAAAACTGATGTACAGTATTAACCTTGGTCATTACTGTGGGATATCATTTAACTGCAACAGCAAAATGTGTTCTGGTTACCATGGTGATTTTGAATAACAATATGTGAGCACTAACAATGCAGATACATCTGATTAAAAGCATTGCATGAGGACTGTAATGGGTGGTTCAAGGTTATAGCTTGTCTTGATTATCAAGAAAGTTTTAACTTGAAATACACAGTTAAGCAAGCAGGAGAATTAACTTATATTTAATATATTGTTAATGGAAAAAGTTCAATATGTATTAGTACAGTAGAGGCTAGGGGTGAAATTATTATTCCATTATGGTTATGGTTCCATTATGGCGGTTCACGTGCAAAGCGACAGAAGAATCTAATAAATGCCAGAGGTTCACAAAGAGCAGACCACACAGATCCATCACTGCACATTAACATCACCTGCATGTGATTGTGTCCTCGGTCTGCGCCACTAATGCACTTGCTCATCTTTGTCCCCTCAGGGTGGCAGAGAAGGAAAGTATCAATAAGATGTCCCTCCACAACCTGGCAACGGTTTTTGGGCCAACCTTGCTGAGGCCTTCCGAGAAGGACAGCAAGATCCCGGCTAACCCCACCCAACCCATCAGCATGGGGGACAGCTGGTCCCTGGAAGTTATGGCACAGGTGACCTACACAGATTTTCTTCTGGCATTTTATCTTTGATTTTTGGAAAGCTTTTTTTCAGAAAAAAAACAAAACCCCTTTTTTTATTTTTGCTCATTTGTCCATCAAACATTTTCTCTTCTCTTGCAGGTCCAGGTGTTGCTGTATTTCTTGCAGCTGGAGACGATCCCCACCCCAGACAGTAAACGACAGAGCATCCTTTTCTCCACTGAAGTATAGAGCTAATATTGACTCTGCCGATGTGAGAGTTTGACCATGAAGGAGTGAATTAGAGAAGGACCTTGGCTCAAAGTGAGCCTATAGTAGTGTGTTTTTGAATTGACTGACCAGATTCCTGGAAAGGATTGTTTCTGGCGATGCCTGCCCCCCTCAAACACATGAGGGTGCCATTGGGCCTCTGATGCTCAGAGGACATGAGGTCCTTCCCGTTCGTATCTCTCATTACCTGATATTTAGTGTGATTCCTTGTACCTTCATTGATTATGTAGGTACACCTGCCATCTACATTTGTCCACTTCGTTCTCTGTTGGTCTTAACATTGAACCTTTACAGCGGTTATGGTTCATAAATCAAGAAATGGTCAAAATCAGTCCATAAGATTGATTCTCGATTCTTGAATTGAATGGTTTGCCAACCAATGAGAGTTTCCATGTACCTTTATGTTTGGGCATTGTTCTTTATCTGTGTTTATTTTGGACAATCATCAGCTCAAGATTTCAAAATATTCATCTTAAACATTGCTTCATGTCCTGTTGAGGAAAATTGTAACCGTGTCTTACATAATCTTAGCACATTGTTTCTGGGAAAACATTTGTGCCGTTTGCGGGAGTTAAAAACAAACATCCAGAGCTGCCACGATACTGGCTTTTTTTCTTTGTGTCAGGAAAAAGCCAACACCTGTACGTTGAAAGTGTTGACAACGTAAACAAACCCCGGTTGGAGTCAGAGAACAGCGCTACAGCTTGAAGTGGGACAGTAAGAAAAAAAAAAAGGAAGCCAATGATTAGTAATACACTGCAATTTGACTACCTGCGGTTTTTCCGATCATAAAAGAAAATGTCCTCTATTTGTGTCGTTGGTGTCTCAAGGTAGTCTTCAGCTTAAATATCCAGGAAGCAATATATTTTCTAACATAGGAATTTGTCTGTGGTCATATCTTTGCTGACGACATGTCCTACTTATTGTAACATAGGACATCTTGCCAAATGAATATGTTGTTTGTTTGTTTCTAGGCGAAAAGGAAGCAGTTGTATTTACAGATACAGTATGTACATAATCTTAAAGTTGTATTTTTTTTTTTTTCTTTTTGGTTTAACAGTATAATCATTGTTGCTATTATTGTAATTTATTTTGGGGTCCAGGGAGGAGAAATTGGTATGTTTTTCTATGTGAACTTTTTTTGGTTTGATTAAGAAAGTGTTAGGTCTTAGCCTTGACTTCAAGTCTTGCAGTAAATAAGCAGGATTTAGCCTTGTTCTTATAGAAACTACTCTGCTGTTCTGTCCAGCCTATCAATTTATGATTCATTTAGATATTATAATGAAGGTAACACACACATTGTAGTTACATACTGTATGCTGCTGTGGAAAAGGCACAAGCTCTTTAACTGCTGGGTGTTCCTCAGCAGAACGTCTCACATCCAGAGACCATCGCCTGTCTAGTGTAGACATTATGCAATGTCATAATACAGCACACACACATACACACACATATATGACATTGTCTCTTTTTGTACCATTTAATCTATGGCTGCAGAAGTGCACTCATGCAATGTTAGAACTACTGTATAACAATTTAAGTGACCTGAGCACTCAGCGTTTATGTCCATCGAAGAGCATATTTGTTGGTTTTAATGAAGGAATATTGTGTATTATTGTTTCATCTCCTCCCAACTCTTTTTTTTATTTATCTCATGCATATGGAAAAATGTCTGAATAATTCTTTGTCCCTTTAACTGCTCTTCATACCGTTACACTAACTCAATGACCAATTTAAAGGAAAGCTCTTAAATCTTAAATTTCTGTCTTTGGTTTAACATGCAGGCATGTTTTATTGATTTTTTTTTTTGTTTACTTTTTGGTCTTGTTATTGCTGTTTTGTTCACAAATATATCATCACAGACTTTGGGATGTTGGTAAGTTTTCAGTATCTGGTTTATATTATTACAGCATGTGCTTTTCTGGCCAGTTTAAAGGATAGATTCATAATTTTTCACGTCCGTCTCAAAACAGTAGTCAGGTCACCATATGCACACTGCAACACGTTTAGCTTGCGATAATGATTCCTCGTGTTCATACTGGCTATTGCTTGACATTGGAATCACATTAGGAAGGGTGCTTTTAATGCCAGTATGAACAAGACGAATGATTACAGCAAGCTAAACCTGTTTCTATGTTTATATTGGCATCTAGCTATTGTTTTAAGACAGAATAAAATGTGAATTTGTCATTTAAGGGTAGATATCACGGTTGGTTTCCCATATATATCTTAGGCTTAAAACTATAACCAGTTGACTAGTTTAGTGGATCTGATAAGGGCTTGTGTGTGGTTGTGTCCATGTTAAAGATAACACACGGGGGCATGTATGAGTAGCCTAAATGTTATTAATAACAAATGTTAAGTTTTTAACATAAATGTCTTTAGACTTTTAAAAGCAAGAGCAGTCTTTCATTTTGGATACATATCAACTCTCTTAATGTCAAGACATTTACACTCACTTTGCACATGATAATATAGATAAAACACCATAATTGTATGAACCCCATAAATAACAATGTCGAGATCTTATTCTGAAAGTGTTCATGCCTTCATTTTATTTTTTTTAACTGTACTTCCACTAATTATGGCCTACTATAGCATGCACATGTTGTTTTTGACAGAGAATGAATTCACCGTTCATTCATTCATTCATCCTTCACCTTTATAACAAGTCCCAATTGCCTACACTACTCTACCCTATCGTGCCTCAACACTTTTTTTGTTTAGCGCCTGTGGTACTCTGAACGTCAGTGGAGACGCTGACAGTGGAAACGTTGTTCAGTCTCCTATTGCCTTTGCTGAGGACAGCCACACACCTTTCATCTCTTCAAGACTAAGACAGGACCTTAAACTTAAGCATGGTCTTAGCTTGTACCGTACATGCCCATTCTACTTGCCACCCACATCTGACTGTGATGCTGTAATTCAAACTGTGTTAAAGTCAGTCTTAATGGGGCAAAGGGAAGAATTTCTTGCCCTTTAGCTCTTAAAGTTTCAGCTCCTTTAATGCCTTTTATTCTTATTTATTTATGCTTAGCCCCTGTTTGGTATGATACGGTCTACTTGAGCTATTTATTTATGATATAATATCATCTAAAGCTAAATTAATGTTGGAAAATGGTCTTTATAGGGTTTCTTCGGGAAATGTCTGTTTATCAGCTTTTGTTCATCGGACATCCTTTTGTCACTATTTTGTCCCAGAATTAAAACCACTGTGTGCAACTGCAAACACCTTTTAACCCCCTACTCCTGCATTATCGGCTCATCTCTGTAGTTACTTGTGTCGTACAACAGACTGGCCACTGTGATTGTTTAGCTATCTGAAGATAACTGAATAGCAGGTGCAGGTTCTTGTCAGTTTAAAAGGTAGATTTTGTGAGTTAACATAACTCTTACTTTTCCATGGAGTTGTATAATATGTATTATACTAGAGAGTACATTATTTGGTTGCCGTTTTATTTATTGTGGCGTCCACTGACGTATGATCGTTAAGGATCGAGCTGGTACGCCTCTAGTCTCTTTGAAAAGCTGTCAGTATGTGGTAGAGGAGAAAAGAGTCTTATATTGCTCTAAAATCTGCATTGTTTTGGTCTGTTGATTGTCAGTGTAAATGCATGTACCCTCCATAACCTCAGTTGTTTAGTTCTGTACATGAAAAAGTAAATACAGCAAAGAAGGTTTAATTTTCCTGAAGATATGGAACATATTGCTCTATATGAAAGTTACAAATCTCTTCTGTTTATTGTATATGACCCTGGTAGCTATCACTACATTTCCATACTATAGTTAATACTTTCAAATGACCCTCTGCTGCCACTTCTAAAACATCAAGCTGACATTAAATTCGACTACTTTAACCTTTGGAAATAGCTTGGATTTTATTTTGACACATAACCTAAAGCTGAGGATGAGACTTGTTGACCAACCACAAACACTTTCTCTTTTTACCTTCCTCAATTTTTTGACTCTTGTTCTTGTTCAATATTCAATGTTCTGCTTGTAGAACTGTAAAAAGGAATACTGTATTCTGAGGGCAAACATGTTTGGAAGGCATTTGCAGCCTATGTTTGTACACAAAAATGTTAAATAAAATCTCCTTGTATCTACATAATATGACATGTTTGATTTTCTTTTTTTTATTTACACATTAAGCCTTTAGCATGGTAGCTTTTGAGATGAAAACGTAACCACTTATCATCTGTCATGTATAATATGCTGATATAATTTATAACTATACAATATAAGATTTCCTCTCACATGTTTCAATATATAGAGTAAACAATGGATGCAATGAGTGTGTATGAAGCTGTGATAACAGATGAGATGCAGTCCATTATTGGCAGGGAGAGCATTGTGGGTAGACATAGAGTGTATGTATAATGCATGTATGTACAACACTTAGGAGTGAAATTGGAGATGCACAAAACTTGAAAAATAAATTTCCTGTGAAATCTTTGAGAACAGCAGCAGGGGGAAAAAAGAATAGACTATCAGTGCCTACTGGTTGATGGCAGGTGTTGCAGGTTCAGCTTGTCACTGAAAATTGATGGACTGTTTGCACACACTTGTCCATTCATACCTTCATTTATGAAGGGATAGATGAAGTCCCTTGTTTATGCCCCTCGATCAAGTCAAAATAGAAAAGTGCATGTACTGTTTTTGATGTATGCTGAGATAACGACAGATTCGCCCAACCTTTTTGCTTTTAGTGTTTTCTTAAAGTCTGTTACTTTTGAAAGAAGAAGCAGCAGACCCATTGTCCTATAAATACTCACAATTAGCAAAACAGAAAAACACAGTTTCTCAGTTCAATACAGGTTTTGACATCAGAGCCTTACTTCTGACTCAGAGTCTCTGTAACACTACCAGTTTCATCCTGCAGACAGTAAATCAGGTTGTGTAGCTCTTCCACAAGAAGTGGTTGGGGCTCTTAGTTGAAAAAGGCCGGACCAGTACAGTCTCACTGCTTTTACCCTGAAAGCCATCTGGTAGGACATGGGGGTTTGAATGTGTTGAAAGAGCCGTGGTCACACTTGGCAAATATCTTTGAGGATGAATTTATCTTTCACAGGCTGGATAAATGGTAAGCTGTGTTTGCGAGCAGAAAATCTTCATAGGGAACAAGATTGTAATCCACACAATAAACAGTGATGCATCTTCAGTCTTATCTGTCATGCAGTACTGCAGTGTTGGTCAATTCTGTGCAGTATTTGCAGTTCCTCTTATGATGCTGCTGTCTAATGACTGAGGACACAACAGCTGATATTCATTTACATACTTAAACTTTTTGTAGCCTGACCTTGTCTTTAGACATTTGTGTTTCTAAACTTTATATTTGTATATTTTGTGCTAGACAGTTTTCCTGGGTAAAGATCATATTCCATTCGTCACCTATAATCTTGCTATGAACAAAAAATCTTTCAGCTCTTCAGCTGGAGACCTAATCTGGATTTTCAAAATCATCCCTTCAATACAAAGCATCCAGAACATCTTTGCTTGTATTTAATTTAGAAGTGATGAATCGTGGTCTGACTTATAAACAGAATCTGACAGCTCTTCATAAGAAAATACGAGTGTTCACTTTTTGGTTTATCATTTATTAGCAATGCATGTGCCAACTTCTGTAAATGGGTCTTACCAGTTAGACAGAGCTAGCTGAACTCTGAATACTGCAAAGAAGAAAGATGCAATACAACTGTATATGAGCTATACTTCAATAATGCATTATTTTTTTTATTTTTTTTCATTTTAGACATGTATGCTAGCCACATATGTCAAATATTAAAGTGACACAAAGCTCCATGGATACACGGACAGCTCCATGGATACACAATAAAAGCATGCAAACAAAACGTACAAAAAGAGTACATTTTCAGCACTTAATCTTTAAGCACACAAGTAGTTTGTAGTCTTCCTATTAAACTGTGTGCGCAATTTTACGCAAAGTACTCATTTACAATAAACTAAAGACTGAAAGGGACTTTCTCGCGTTCTTATGCTGATATTTCTATGCTGTGAAACTCGGGGTATATTTAAATTATTATTATAATGAGTTATTAATTATAATTAATGAGTTATTAATTATAATTACTATAATAAATTAGACTTGAATGTATTCTGTTTTACTCTTAGTTGGTCCCTTTCACTTACTTTTTTACGTCCCATCCAGTTGTCATCGGTTATTTCCATTTGTCTGTACGTCACCGGTTACCAGAAGACCCCCTCAACACACACACCAACACAGGAGCGAGAGAGAGAGAGAGAG